GCCTCCGCCGACAGTCCCCCATATGGCGGGGGTGGCACAGCCGGCGGCGGTCCAGCGGGGCCAGGAGGTGCGAGCTCGGCCACCGCGCACGCCTCGGCGCGCTTCCCCTACTCGCCTAGCCCTCCCATAGCCAACGGCGCCGCCCGGGACCCAGGGGGCTATGTGGCTGCGGGCAGCGCGGGCACCGGCAGCGTGAGTGGTGGCAGCAGCAGCCTGGCGGCCATGGGCGGCCGGGAGCACCAGTACAGCTCGCTGTCCGCGGCGCGACCGCTGAACGGGACGTACCATCACCATCATCACCATCACCCCACTTACTCGCCCTACATGGGTGCACCGCTGACGCCCGCCTGGCCAGCTGGACCCTTCGAAACTCCGGTGCTGCACAGTTTACAGAGCCGCGCCGGAGCCCCGCTTCCGGTGCCGCGAGGCCCCAGCGCAGGTAAGGATTGCGCCGCAGTGAGGGAGAGCGGGCCAGGGACTTGGGGCGGAGGAGGGTATGAAACAGCTGTCCTGGCCCCAGCAAAGATTTTGTAAATCAATGGCAGCATACTCAGGCTAGCAGTGATGCTGTGGGGATACTTTTGTTCAGGAAAGAGTGAATGCACACCTATTAGCTCAGGCTTTGGGGGTGGGATGGTGTGCACGGGGCGGGGGGAAGCTTCTTGAGTAAAGACCGGACAATTGAGAAAACTTACCCTTTCGTTTGAGAGATCTGTGGGGTCAGAGCTCCGCATATAACCTGTCTGGTTTGGGTGAGTGAGATTCCAGGATTGGTTGCGTTTGAAATATTGGGTTCTTGATTAGGTAGACAGTCTATTCATTATTCAGTGCCTACGTGAGGAGCTTCTTTGGACGAGAGTATTTAAATAGGACACCCAAAGCCCCAAGATCTTGGCCTCGGTTCCCTCAAGCAATGGGGGAGGGGAGGAGGATATCAGAAGAGACCTAGGTCAGCCAGCCTTGACATTATTCCTAAGGATAGTTGGTGCAGGCTTGGCATCTGCTGGGTGGGACTGGGGATGCAGCTCCCACGTGGCCAGGTGGGCCAAGGTACACCATCCTCTTAAGTGCCAGGAACTATTTAAGTGTAAAGTGAGAAAACAATCGTCAACTACCTTGGAGAGACCTTGGTTTGGAAATGGTCCCGCTGTTAGCAAGAGCAGTTATGAGGCAGGCTTGTGTTCTTCCTCCGCCGCCTTTTATTGAGCCCAGAGTTCATTCGTAAATCCTCCTCCTCCGGGGCTTTCATTCACTGAACAACTTTTTCTATCAGGAAAAAAAAAAATGTAATGTTTTTGAGGGCAGATAGTCGGTGTTAGGAGGAACGGAGGATACTGGTCCAAAGAATCTTTGCATTATTCTGGGAGCCCCTCTCCACTTTGGTTTAGGGACAGTCCTTTCAGGGCACCTCATCTGTTAGACTGAATGGGGGTGTTTCTCAGCTTTTGCTCAGGAAGTCTAGTGGCAACCAAATGGAGAACCTGATCTGAATAGGGCCTCAGTGGTCACATTGGGAAAGGCCAAGAGACAGGGTAGTTCAGCCCCCACTCCCTTAACTCCTGCACCTTTCCTGCCAGGCTAGAAAAGAGACTTAGGGAGGATGATCCTGTTTCTGTGCCCTTGTGGCTTGGGGCTTGATAGAAAGACCATGTTTAGCTCCCGAGGGTAGAGACCTGGAAACTAAAATTTTTCAAAGAATGAGAAGGGAGTTGTGACTTGGGTGTGGCACTTTTGTCAGGGGTGAGTTTGTGGGAACGGAGTGCTTTCTGTTTGAGGACACCCCCTGCCCTGCCTGTTGCTTGACACACCTTAACATTCTCTCTAAATTCCTTTTCTCTAGGCCTGAGCCACCTCACTTGACTGAGATAGCTTACACAGAGACAGACAAAATCCTATCTCTAGATGCTGAGAGCAGTGAACCCCTTTGAGAAATGCAGTCACAGGCACCACAGAAGTGTCTTCTGGCTTTGAAATTAGCCTATATTTTCCTAGATTATTCCCCCCACCCCAGTCTCTGAGCATTGCAGAGTAGGGAAAAATCTGTAGACTTAAGCAGTTTTTAAAAAAAGGTTGGAGTGAAGGCCGACATATAGGTCTTGCAGTCTGCTAAGAAAAGAAGCAGCAACCAAGGCAGAGCTGGATAGAAGGGTGGTCTCAAGTTTGATCACACAGGCATTACTGCTTCTTTACCTTCATCCCCCTCTGCCAGGATCTCCCTGTATAGCTCTTGGCTGGCT